CAACACGGTCTCATCAAACAGACGAAAACGGCTCGTGGAACAAGCTGCAGGACCCTTTCGAGAGACCGACGCTGACATCGAAGGTATCGTATCTGCGGAACCACGTCAACAAAATGTAGGAAGTCTTCGAACGTCTTTCCGTGTCAGGATTGAAGCTGGATGAAAAACTACAGGTGCACAGGTGCTAAGCAGTCTTCGATAATCGTTCAACGCTCTGACAACGGCGTTGGAAAGCCGGGTGGACGATTAATTGACACTGGAACTCGTGAAAACCAAGCTGATCGACGGGAAGCTACAATGAGTCCGTTCTGAAGGCTGGATCCGGCAAAAAGGTCTACCTTTGTCATTATTGTGGCAAGCCAGGCCATAAGCAGCAGGAATGTCGGAAGCAAGCTAGTGACCAAGAAACTGAATCCAAAAACGTTCAAAAGGTCCGGAAGAATCCATCCAAAGCCAAGGTAACTCGAGAAGCGCGTAATAGCAACTGTGCCTTCACGATGAAAGGGACTGGAAAATCCGGAGGCTGGATCGTCGATTCGGGGACGACATCCCACATATGTGCTGAGCGGGATTTCTTTCTTGATCTGGATGAAACCAGCAACGAAAACGTCACGCTATTAGACGGAACGACGACAGCTGCAAATGGAAAAGGAGCTCGTCAAGTGAGTTGCTGCGGGCTGGAAGGTAACAACGTACAATTACCTGGAGGGGGACGTGCTGTCAAATCAGGCTACTTATCATTCTTGTATGAAATTGGTTCCAAACGTAAACAAACCATGTAGGTTTGTTATGCCTTGTTTCCGTTTGAAACCAGTTATATGAGGTAGGCGACGATTGTTCGTATTTGACAGCCACATCCAAGGGGTAAGTCACCCAGCACATTGTGCCAAAATTAGATTCGGCACAGCTTGGGCACATTCATCGGAACACCTTCAGCATACCTTCAGCACACCTTCGACACAATCTCGTAGACATTGGATTGTTGAAAATAAAATGGGAACACTGATGGACAACTGTCATTGAAATTGTTCACAACATCACGTGCTGTTTGACTGTTGTTTGACTAAAGGCCGGCGCACAATAGATACGTTTTCGGGTTTTTTGACAGTTAGCCCATGCATTATCTGTCAAAAAACCCGAAAACGTATCTATTGTGCACCGGCCTTAAGACCAGCAGTTCACTTATAGATTCAAATACGAAATGTAGGTTCTAGAGAGGGCTCAAGAGAAAGAGGCAGTTAATCAGACTCCATTAGTACCCTTAATTCAAATAATGCTGCAAACCACACTAAACAAACTAAAGAAAAATCTTTGAAATGTGTCGAACCTCTTAACGGAATCCCTTTTATGAAGAGCTTTGAGTGTGTTGGTTTATTTCCTTTAAATTCCGTTATAATTGCTTATCTTTTGACAGATGCGTGTATTTCGTCTACAACTTGCAGACTTCATCAGTGCCAAGTGGTGTTGAGTACTTGGCACTGATGAAGTCTACAAGTACTAGACGAAATACGCGTATCTGTCAAAAGATAAGCAATTATAACGGAATTTAAAGGAAATAAACCAACACACTCAAAGATCTTCATAAACTAAAGAAGTCTATTAATCGTCCTCTATAGTCGGTCTCCAAAAATGCTCCCCACCGGTTCCAAACCTTTCCGGTCGCTGATAGACCGATGCATTTCACATTACGAAAAGTTAGGTTTCTGGTCAGCCTTTGAGGACATTATAAAACACTAAAACACAGGACTTTTATTACCGTGTTCATAGGGTAACAAAATTTCATACACCGGCCACTTCCCGCGTCATCCTCAATCCGATTTATCCTTGAGATTTCAAACCAAAACATTCAAGGTGTCAGAAATTCCGGGTTGCCGGGATGGGTATTTTACGAATAATCACAGCTTGCTCTATGACCGGCACAATTGGCACTCCTGCGACACACTGACAAAAAAGACGAGCAAGATTGGTGTGCGGAGTGACCTACACCTTGGCCACATCCCACTCCTGACAATTACACTTTCACTGACGCTGAGAACTGCAAAATCCTGAAGGGTGAACTCAGCTGGAACTCAGACCAGCAGTTCACTTATAGATCTTAATACGAAATGTAGGTTCCAGAGTGGGCTCAAGAGAAAGAGGCAGGTAATCAGACCTCATTTGTACCCTTAATTCAAGTAATGCTGCATCTCCCACAAAACAAACTAAAGAAGTCTATTCATCACCCTCTATAGTCGATCTCCAACAATGCTTCTCATCGGTTCCAACTCTTTCCGGCCGAAAGGCTAGGTTTCTGGTCTGTCTTTGAGGGCATTAAAACACTAAAACACAGAACTTTAATTACCCTATGGATCACAAAACACCGACATTTCGCACACTCGTCACTTCCCGCGTCATCCTCAATCCGATTTATCCTTGCGATTTTAAACCAAAACATTCAAGGTGTCAGAAATACCGGATTGCCGGGATGGGTGTTTTACAAACAATCGCAGCAAGCTCTATGACCGGCACAATCGGCACAGTGTGCCTCAAACTGACAAAAAAGATGACCCAAGATTGGTGTGGGGAGTGACCTACCCCTTGCAAATGCCCTACAATATGGTTATTTTCGGAACAGGGACAACGCGTAGATGCCAAAAATCGATATCCAATGCCATTTTGGAATCCAATATGGCGGCCATCGGGTTTCACAAAAAGTGTCAAATACCCTTAGATCTGGGTACTTCAGAACGAGGACGACGCGTAGATGCTGAAAATCGATATTCGATGCGATTTGTGGGCTATTTGACAATTCTTCTGAAATCGGAAGCCACCATCTTGAATTTCAAGATGGCGTCGGGCATCGATTTCTTTGTTCTAGATGTCAGCCCGATTCCAAAAAACCCACATTGATCGGTATTTGACTGTATATCACAGTATTTCTGAACCAAAGCCGCCATCTTGGATTTAAATACGGCGTGACATCAATTTTCGGCATCTACGTTTCATCCCCATTCTGAAAATAACCATATTTTAGGATATTTGACACTTTTCCGCGAATTGGACATATTTGGATTACAAAATGGCGTTGGATATCGATTTCCAATCTCCAGACGTCACCCCGATTCCAAAAATACCCATATTGATAGGACGGCATTAGCATTCCCCTTTTTTTCTGAAATAGGAAGCCGCCATATTGGATTTAAAAATGGCATCGGCTATCGATTTACGGCCTCTAGACGCCATCCCGATTACAAAAATACCTATATTCATGGGTATTTAACAGTATTTCCCACTTAATCTGAAATCGGAAACCGCCATCGTGGATTTCGAAATGCCGTCGCATATCAATTTTCGATCTGTAGACCTCATACCGATTACAAAAATACCAATATTCATGTGTATTTGACTGTATTTCCACTAAATCGGAAGCCGCCATCTTCGATTTCAAAATGGCGTCGGATATCGATTTTCATCCCGATTCCCAAAATACCTATATTGATAAGTATTTGACAGCATTTCCCACTTTTTCTTAAACTTGAAGCTGCCATCATGGATTTCAAAATGGCGACGCATAACAATTTTTGATCTCTAGACGTCATCCCGATTCAAAAAATACCCATATTGATGGGTAAACAAACCACCCGACAATGATAAATTTATCATCCACGTTCACAGATCCATGCGCATACGTTTAAATGAACCGAGTGAGCAAACAACAAAAGTCATAAAAACTGCATGAATTTGGATCGAACAGCTTCGCTTCAATGCGAAGTTCATTTGACAATGAAAGAAGAAATGAAGTTCGAATTTTTATCTGTGTAGTCAAGCCAAAACAAACTGCATGAAAAATGATCGCAAGTGGTTCTGTTGATGTTGACGGGGATCTGCTCGAAGAGAAGACAGAATGACTTTCAATTGAAAGTGATAGTTGACAGGTTCATCGTCGCTTCACGATTTTCGATTGAAAGTGACTTTGTGGAGCCCTGCTTCAGAGATGCCAAAAGAAAGTTTTGAAATATCCGTAAAGACACGACAGTGCTTGAAATCGTCATCCACGTGGAGTATTTTGTTTTCTGTACACGCTAACTTGAAAGTACTCATTAATGAGTAAAAAAAGACCCATTTTGAAGAAAAGTGGCTTAACTCATTAATGATTAAACAATTTTACCCATTAATGAGTATTTGTTACCCATTAATGATTAACAATTACTCATTAATGGGTAACAGATACTCATTAATGGGTAAAAAATTTACTCATTTAATGAGTTAAGCCACTTTTCTTCAAAATGGGTCTTTTTCAACCATTAATGGGTACTTTCAAGTTAGCGTGTATGGGGTTTGCAGTGATCCGGCTGGTGCTTCCATATATGTTTGATGAGAAAAATTATGATTTATAAAATTGTCCCAGCGGTTATGATCTTCCGGATTTTTAATGTGTGGTTATTTCAGCAGTAAAACAGTTCAGATCTGTAGATAATCGAAAAATAAGACAACTACCGATGGAAATTTGCAAGTTGTACAATAAAATGTACATTATTTTGAGTTTTGAAAATCGTCATTATGATGTAAACAAATGGATCAGATGACGTTTCTACTCAAAATCGGTTAGCAAACTCTACATTAATGATGCATGCAAAGAGCCTATTGTTAAAGGGCTCGAGCAATGCAAAAATCAACTACTTGTAAGGTTTGTGTAAAACAGTGAAGGAATTATTTTGCTTTCAATCATGATTTTAAATTCGAGAAGGAAGTAAATAGGATCCTTCAGATGATGTAACCCATATATTTTTCAAAATTAAAGAACCCAGTTGGAATCTGCTGTTGTAAAACAGCCTTTATTTGCATGGTACAGTTTAATCCAATGCTAGATGTTGTTTCCCCTGCAAATCAGTACTGTCTTATACATCTGCATACGATAGAATTGAAATAAGATCTAAAGCCCGCTGACTGACTGATTGACCACTGCCCTTTGCTTGCGATCATAAAATATGGTACAAACAATTTTCTAAGAGGATTCTTACCTGCTGTTCCCACGTAAAGATGTGCTGGTTGAAGTAGTATTGGATCTGTTCATTTGCAATGTTGATGCAAAGCTGCTCGAATGAATTCTTGTTGAAATTCTCGAATCCAAAAATGTCCAACAGACCGACCGCCAACTGCTCGGAACTGCAAAAAAAAACTCAATCAGTAAACCCCCTAGCCACCGCAATCAACCTTCAAACTCACTTGTTATTCGGCCTGTTATGCACCAACAGCAAATTGATCTGATTGACCATCCAATCGAACAGCCGCCCGTACAAACCTTTCGCCATGGCATCCCTGGCCGTGCAAGCCTCGGACACATTGTTGTGCCTGGTGATCGTTTCCCCCCTGGTCACCACGGAATTCGACGTCAACGCTTCCAGCAAATCGGCCGACTCCACGCCCAGCAGCTTGGAAACGCGATGCATCGGGGCCACATCGATCACCCATGCCTTACTGTCGGTATTGTCGTTCGAATCTATTTCTCCGAACTCCATGTCGCCTAGGTTGAGGATCGCCGCAAGCACCCGATTGACCATGTCGACTTCGTCGTCACGAAATCCGAGCACCTTGAAGCTAGCTAACAGCTGCTTCCAACGTTCAACGTTGGTTTTCGGTAGCGTGGCCGTTTCCTGCAGGTAACGATGAGTCTTCCGATAGGACGGATGAAGATAGTACTCCTCCAAGCGCTTCTCTGCCTGCAGGCCATCGTACATGTAGTAGAATATGTGGAAGTTGCCTTCAGCTTCAGCCTGCTTGACGACCCGGCTCTGCTCCAGCAGATAGACGAAGATACGAGCTCCGTTGACTTTCCCGCTGCGAGCCATGGTTAGTTCCAGGTATTTACCGAAGCGGGAACTGTTCGAGTTGATACCGGTTCGAGCGTTTCCAAACGCTTCCATGATTGGATTGACTTGGAGGATTCGCTCCTCCAGATTCTTGGTAACTGCCTTTCCGAGGAAGACTAACTGCTTCAGTAGGAGGTTGGCGCTTTCCGTCTTACCGGAACCACTCTCTCCGGAAATGACGATCGCTTGATTTTGCTTCTGGTGAACCAGAGCTTGGTGGGCTGCGTCTGCCACAGCAAAGATATGCGGTGGGTTGTCCGATCTAGTCTTGCCACAGTATTTCCGCTGATGATAGCTCGTGTATATTCCCAGTTGAGAAAACGGATTCACCGCCACCAGGATGTCCCCGATGTAGGTATAGATTTGATTGGTTTCGAATCGCTTCTGCAACTGCTCGACAATTGTGTCCTCCGTCAGGACATCCAACGCCGCCAAGTCATCCATGTACATCTTCTGCGGTTTGGATTTCCTATCAGACTTCAATTTTCCATACTTGGTGGTAGCCTCCGCTTGCCGTGAGGCTCTTCCATCCGATCGCTGTTTCTGAATTTCCGTCTTCAGCTCTTGCCGGACTTGATCGGCATACGGTCCTACCGCCTTCAAAAAAGGATGCGTCACCAGTTCCTTCGAAAACGGTCTTTGCTCTAGATCTTTCACCAAGCATTCGGATATGAAATCCGACAACATCGGCGAATAATTTTCCGGATGGATCAACCTCGGTGGAGGATTTCTCGGAATCTGGAACAACGCTCTCATCGGATGCAACTCACACAGTGGTGGATCACCCTCGGCCAGTTCAATCGCTGTGATTCCAATCGACCACACATCACACCTCGAATCGTATGACTGATCGAGCTGTTGTTCGCAAGCAATGACCTCCGGGGCCATCCAATAGGGCGTTCCCACGCTGGTATTCCTCCGTGCCATCGTGGCTGCCAGGTGTGAACTGACCCCAAAGTCCACCAGCTTGACCTGGCCATTCTCCGTCAGCAGGATGTTGTGACCCTTGATATCCCGATGCATGCAATGGTTCTCGTGCAGAAACACCAACGCGTGAACAGTTTCCCTCAGAATGTACGCTATCTGGTTGTTGGTCAGCCGGGATCCCCGGTTGCGTAGACCTTGAACCAGATCCGTAACCGAACCACCGGTGCATAGCTGTGGAAAACAGAAACGGAAAGTTAGAAATTAGATCACTGGACTGCCTACCAAACACAAGGGCGATCGGTGCACCACATTGGGCGCTAAATGGGGAATGAACACACGCAAAGCTTTGCATAAAAACGGTAATCAAATTGAATTAAAGCCTGTACAGGTGCGTGTAAGTGATGTAATAAGTGGTACGCGTTCTCGTATAACTCGAATGCATTTGCGGGTATTTAAGCATTTGGTTGAACATTAAACTGAATTTTCTGCTCCGCTTTTCCCGCTTCTTCGACTGCGTTCAAGTACCTACACAAGTTACGAGCGCAATTTCCTCTTTTCATTGTACGATTCAAATGGCGGAGGGCCGTTAGTTGGTTTTGGAGTCAGATTCAATGGCAAGAGCGATTTAAATATATGACTAAATTGAATCGATTAGCGATGCCTTGAGTTGGGCGTCGGGCAAGAATGTATGCGTGGCAAAATCTCGTGGCGATAGACAAGGTTAAAGAGGCTTATTGAAACCCGAATCTATGCCATTTGATGGCTAACCTATTGATATAAATGTTTTTGCTTGATTGGATTGGTGGTCAATGTGATCGACAGAGATTTCTGGTTTAAGAAAATGATTGCTAGGGGAAATGTATGTAATGTCGGCCTAAGTGTCCCTAATTTGGGCCCATACATAAATTCAGCAATCGACTAAATTTTCAATAGCAACCAAAAATATCCATTAGTACCGTCCCAATGACGCGTTCATCTAGATACAATTGATAAATAGCAGATTTTTAGCGATGGGCCCAATCTTAGATCCATAGGCCAACATTAGAGCCATTTCCCCTATGTGGATTTAAAGAACGATTCTGACGCAGTTGTTGCTACTATCGCTAAGATCACGGATCCTTGGGTGAACGAAGCTAGGGTACCGTATTACAGACAACACCAACACATTTAAATACATTTCAATTGCATTTTTCTACACGGTAATCAAAATCGCAAAAACGCAGCGTACTCATAGACTGAGTAAAATTTTCCTCGCTTTTTCTTGAAAAATCTGCCCGAATATGAGGAAAATCGACGAAAACTTTACTCAGTCTCGGAGTATACTAAAAAACTGAAGCCTCCCTCGGTTTTTCTCATATTCCTGAAAAATCGAGGAAAATTTGACTTAGTCTATTAGTAACCTATGTTTTTGCGAATTTGAGTGAATGAAACTCAAATTCGAGTTGGTTTAATCCATCGTGTACTATTCTTCCGTGAGCTCGTATTAGGTGAGTGATGTGCAATGGATTAATGTAAGCTGTCATTTCTAAACTCACCACACTGAAAGCACCAGTATGGCACAACCTTCCTATTAAGAGCAACATGTGAAAAGGACATAAAAGCTTTTGGTAAACAAACTTGGTAGGCCCTTATCTCGCCAACCGAGGGTTGCTCAGGCAAACCAACAACATCATCGCGAAGGAAAAAGTTTCCCCTACCCAGTGATGTTGATGGTTTGCGTGAGCGAACCTCGGTTGATGTGAAAAGGGTCTACGAAAATTTGTTTACAAAAAGCTTTTATGCCCTTTTACATGTTGTTCTTACTATGGGTATTGGTGAAAGTTCTATTTAGGTGAAACGGCATGCAACAATCGCTGTCCTCACAATGTATGTGTGTATCATGGAGACCTTTCGAATTGAAATTTCCCAGTTGTTTTCCCTTTATTTTGGAAATTTTCCCAGTTGTGCGTTATATATTTAAATTAAGTATAAAACCAAATGCGATTGAACCGAATTTGAACGTTTACCGAATTTTTCAGCAATTCAATTCCCGATTAAAAATACCCAGACTCCTGTAAAATAATCTAAGTGTGTAGGCCAATGTCACAATAATCCATGACATCCATGGGAGATGGTCTCACTAGCGAAAGTATTTGTGTAAACTGTAAATCTCATTTACTCTTTATGATTATGTATATAGATTACCCTTCTGAAATGTAAATTGGGCCTATACTCCTTATTTGGGTTAGAACTATTAACCAAGCGTAAGACAGCTTGCTTCTAGTTTTTCTATGCCAATGACATTAACTCCTTTCTAAACCCTTCAAAGCCCAGAAGGTTTTAAACTGTTTGAAAATACAAAATCTTCCTTGATCTGTAACCCACAGTTGTAGCGGTTTTCCACCTGTAATCTGAACTTCAGTGTTTTGATTTGGGGTTACTTTGATAATGCTCGATGAATGTAGAAAAAAGTAGAAGGGTCTGTGGCTAGGGGCACGAACGGAAGCTTGACGTAGGACCGCTAGTGGACGGAATAAATGTGAAGAGCATTTAGTTCTTTTAATTGATCAATTATCTATTATCTCAACTCTTTCCGTTTTTGAATTGTAGGCGTACCAAATTGGTAGTAATCTTTTTCAAAAAGAAAGTTGATTAAGAGAATCAATCCAAATCACTTGCACCCCTGCTTACGAGTTTGGTTACAAGATTGCAACTCTGAGGAGCATTTTGTGTGGTCGTTGGGGGTTTGTGGTTCTGAATATGGACAAACAAGCACAGATAAATTCTATTCCAACTCTCTACTGATGTAAGCTTGATGGCCCTGAAAAGGGCTGTTTTATTGAAGAGGACATCCATGACCACTTACGCTTGGCGTGTTCAGTGTAGGTGACAGCATCACGGACCTCATTTTTCAGGAATACCTTCAGCACACCTCGTAGATCAGACCGGAGATACGTTTGAACTTTGCGATGACGCTTGGTACCTCCTTTACCAGACCTTTTCCTCCTTTGCCACGACCAGTCAATTGTTGCTTGTTAGGCGTGAAGGAGTGGACTAGCCACCACCTTTCTACTGCTGCTATTGCTGTTCACCACGCCGTCCGAAGCGAAAATATCTTTTCAGGTTAAAGCAGAATGATGTGCAACCAAGTGGTATAAAAGCTACAAAGACTCCTCCCATAATGAGTAGTTTGCTATTAAGTAGCGACACTGGTTCTTTTCTTTTTGCGTACACGGCGAATGGGAACGACCCAAATTTGAGTTTAGTTCACCAGGCTTGCTTCCACTCACTTGCTATAAAAAATATATTTTCGGGATTTTGGAATAGTTACATGTTAAAATGATATTTTGTACCTGTTAGGTACAAGAAGACGTTGGAAGGCAAGTGTTTGACACATAAAACTAGTCAAATTTAGTTCCAGATAGTCACAATCTACGATTTTACGACTCGCGAGCGCTCACTCTGAGTGAACACTCACGAATCATGAAATCGCTGATTGTGACACTCTGAAAGCGAAGTGGACAGGTTTCATATGTCAAACACATACTTTACAGCTTCTTCTTTTAACTTACAGGTACAACATATCATAATAACATCTAATGACTTTATAATTTCGAACATCATTTTTTTATAGCAAGTGAGTTGAAGCAACCCTGTCACTCATAATCACCAAAACTGCAGGAACTCAGCGATGAGTAAATTTTTCTCATGGTTTCCTGGGGAAAACCTAAAGAATCTACCAGAAAATGAGAAAATTGACGAAAATTTTATTCAGTCTCGGAGTAGTACCAATAGACTGAGTGAATCCAATCTTTACTTTTCTCAAATTCGAGAATTTATCCTGGAAAATCCTGGAAAAACCTGGGAAAACATGAGGCAAATTTGCTCATTGCTGAGTTCCTGCACTTTATTTCTTATTTCTGAGATAACTAAGCTCAAATTTGTGTCGTTCTCATTCGCCGTGATATCACCTTGAAAGATATCGGCGCCGGTGGTTAGCGTGATCACCTCTCACCCCAGCAGGCCTGGGTCCAATCTCAGTCGACGCCACCGGCATGTTCTAAGGCATAACATCTCTGATCACGCCTTCCTTCGGGAAGTAAAGCCGTTGATAACCGGTTGAGTTGATGGGTCGATTGGTAGGGTCCATGTGTGGGAGCTGCCTCCCTGGCGTCGGTAGCATTGGAGCTCAGTACAGAAAACAAATCTCGCGTCACTTTTCAATAGGTCCTATCTACATTGATCGATTCTCTTCATCGACACTCTCTTTTGTAAATAACTCGGCTTCACAATTGTTTCCTGCCGTCTTCGTCGAATCAGATGCTAGATTGTTGCTTCTTCCATCGAAAATATCCGGCCGTGGCGATTCAAAATTGATCAAGGTTGATCAAAATAATGTGTACCCCTGCTTCCAGTTTGATTACAGGAGCAATTTGTGTGATCGTTGATTCTGAATATGGACAAACAGGCAGATGAATTCTATTCCTACTCTTTACTGTAATAAGCTTGGTGGCCCTGAAAAGAGCCGTTTTGTTGCCAAAGTTGGTGATGATTTAACCTCCGAAACCAAACAGAGTGCGTCTCTGTCACTTCAACACGTAGATGACATCCATGGCCGCTTACGCTTGGCGTGTTTAGTGTAGGTGACAGCATCACGGGTCTCATTTTTCAGGAACACCTTCAGCACACCTCGTAAATCAGACCGGAGATACGTCAGACACCGCAACGGTGAGCCAGATGACGGATGGTGGTTATCTCGAAGAATTTGCGTTTGGTTCTGAATATGACGATGAGCGTGCAAAATATTACGCAATTCCATCCTTCCTATTCGCACGTTCCCGACGGTCGGAGGCGAATGCCACTTCGACTTTTTTCGTCTACTTACTACTCTCTGATGACTGTGCTGGGGAAGCAGCATATGCATGTAGGTAATTGGTGGATTTGTTAGTTAATTCGACGCTTTTGGACAATGCTGGACATTTACCAGTTTTTCAATAGTTTCTAGTTGAAAATCAACATTGTTATCGATGCGTAGCCATATTTCTAATCGATTGGTGATAAAATTATTGAAATTGTACCAGGGGCAGCTGAGTTATTAACGTTCAAAATCTTTCTTAATTTGTTACATGTTCCATTTTCGGTTTTCACAAAGTGTACCCCCATATAGAAATCAAAGACGTAGTCCTACGTCAAAAATGAGTGAAAATCAAACAATTTATTTCTGTAAATATGAAGCTTTGAATGAGTATATA